CGATCGCTGCATTAATAAACTTTCACGATTGCATGCAGAAAGTTTTAAGCTGCAGTGAGTAAGGAAGGGAAGGCACATCAGCACTTGGTCATCTCAGGGACACTGATGGTATGAGAATTGACTTTTTCTAATTACAAGGACTGCCACATGCATTGCCTTATTCATAATATATGTGCAATATAAAAGACAGCTACTATTTTGTTGCGCTGTAGTTCATTATTTTGTGCATTATAATACTTTGTGCACAATATTAAGTTAATCATGCTGTTCATTTATGTAAATAGTTTATGTAAAGTGAAATGCTTGCATTAATATTAAGAAGTATTATTTTAATATGCAAATTAATAATGCTGAGACAAAATTTGTGAAGGAACTGTCTTTATTTATATTACATTGTGTTTAAGTCAGTATTGCGAATAATGTATATTTTATATATTTTGTTCCTTTTCTAAGGTTATCAACCTATTGCTATCGCTGCTACTGGTATCGCTACTACTGTTCAAGCGCTACAGTATTGTATTATTGGGCAAACTGAAAGTTAAAATACAAAAGCTGAAAAGCCTTGGAGTTGTTCCCTGTGTCCCCTGTTATTGGCTGAAGCTCTTTCGAGTTAGAAGCAGATACTGGTGTGTGTAACCCATAAGAACTCGACAACTAGTGTCCTCACTACAGAGGGCTGAACACTCAGACAGTGATGAAGTTAATGAGACAATTAAGTGTCTAATTAAAGGAGGATTGAGAATTGTTGATGAACAACTGTTAACAAGCAGAATCACTAAGCCAAAACCAAAGATGAAATCAACTGAGAAAAAAAACTCTAAATAAAAATAAAACAAATTACACAATAAAAAATGTTATTTTGCAACATCTTTAAAAAAAAAACTCATCAAATTAAACAACTTATCATGGAGCTTCACCTATTACTGACCTGTGACTTTATTTCTGTCATGTGAACAAAAGCTCTTAATGAAATTTCTGTTGTTCATTTGAAGTCACCATGATGGAGGACAGAGTCTACTTTAGTCAAGCTCTTCAACTTCTTACTATAAATGTCTTTTATTTTGGCTGCTATAGATAGTGTTAATTATACTATTTATACATATAGCATGGAAAGCTGAAAGAAAATTAAAGTGTCAGTCTGAAGAGATTAATAATGATAACATAGCCATCCTTTCCTGCTTGTTTTCTAATTCAATATCATATTAGTTATGTGTGAGAAATAAATAACATACATAAATGAAACCACTGAAGCTCCAATAATATAAAATAAAACCACTATTTATAATGAGAATGTTTGATTTATGGAAGAACTCAAAAACACACAGACATCAATAATTAGTCTTTGAATCTCAATGATGGTGACAAACAAAAAAATTAAAATAAAGTATAAAAAAAACACTCTACTGAAATATCACCTCCCAAAAACAACACAAAATAAAGGAAAAGAAAGAGATTGTAAGAACATAAAGCTGCATAATTTATTCATGCTGCAATGCATGCTGGGAGCTTTGTACTATGCTGGCACCCAGCATGCATTGCGGCATGAACTATGCAGCTTTTTTTTTTTTAGCAACCACGGTTGAGGTTCATATCCTGATTCTTGATGCCTGTGTGTCATAATGCACAAGCTGGAGCTTGAATTTTAGTGCATGACACTCTAATTATTAATTGCATCCTAATTGTTTGTTGAATTGTCTATGAAGAGCAGCAGACTGCCAGTAGTATTATCCCGTGCAGTTTTAATACAATTATATTTGCATATGTTCATGAATCAACTTACTAAACACCTGAAATTATATCTCTAACAATAAAGCATAAACAGTATAGTTTCTCTTGACCTTTTTTTGCTATAGCTGATGAGTTTTAGAAACACAGCTATAGCAGTCAGAGAAACATTAAGCATTAAGAGTAAAGCTTCAAGAGCTCAAATAAGAAGCCTCTGATCTCCATGATGGTGAGGTCAAATGAAATATTTTTAATAAAAAAATATAAACCTCTGTTCATTGTCAAATATTCTTACAGAAATAAAGTCAAACTGTAATCAGTGAAGCTGCTTATACTATTATTTAATGGAGTTGTTTAATCCTGTGTTTTAATTCAGTTGGTTTGGTGTGAGGCTGTGTCTGTAGATTTATTTCTTCCTTCAATTTCTTATTCCTTCAGTGATTGTGCTTGTTAACAGCAGGTGTTCAACAGCAGGTGTCTGAATTC